GTTTTCTCTCCTCCTTTGACATTAATGGCAACCAGACACCTAGCAAACATGTAGATGACTAAATGAAAGTGTGTCTCAGTCTGAGGTTTAATCTTGCACAAAGACATGAAATTCAGTAACTTAAAAAGGTAAGATTCAAATGCAAATACTTGCTGTTAACTCCCTATGCCTATTAATTTCACTGTAATTCTTTCATTTGTATATAACTTGATAGAGCCTTACAGAAAATCATGAAACTGCATGAAAAGAAATGTCATCATAGGAATTCAAGGAGCAATATGCACTGTCTCTGTGACACTGTAAATCTGAATTTTGCTGCTGAACTTTAACGTGTAAACTAATTCTCTCTGTTTTAGGTCCTGTACCTATTAAAAAAGCTGTCCACTTGGTGCTGAAAATGCTTTGAAGCATTCAGGCTAGGACACCTAAAAGAAAGACTTATGTTTTATCAATCAAGATTCTGAAATGAGATTGTAATGCAGAACATGATGTGGCAATTTTTCTTTGAAAAGGACTATATTGCTTCTCCTGCCTCCCCAGGGATTTCCCCTAAAAATTGCAAGGGACACTATGTACATCTTTCCTAGAATTATAAGACTTGTACTGCTTTCTGTCAGGGTGTAGGCACAACGGGTGGCCATTTTATGCATATGGCTCATGGAAATAATTTGTTCAAATGCAGGTGGTTTTGACTAACCAACACTAGTTTCCCATTGCTGTTTTAATAGGAAAAATATTCCTCAGCATTTGAAGTGGGACTTAAAACTGCAAGAATGGCATCAAGAAGTATTACATTTTATTTTTATTGAAGACTGCATTCTCATAACAGATAGAGAACTTTGGGTTAGATCTGAGTTTAAGCAGTCTCTAAACTTGGCTCAAACTTCTGAAATAATTTAAAACAAATCATTTAACACACTAGCACCTCATTTCTGCTGCTCTACAATGGAAATGATTTTTCCATGGATATTCTGAACTGTTTCCTTTGGCCTGTATGTATCTAAGATGAAAATTAATCTGGGTGTGCACATGTAGTAAATCAAGCATTAATGTTAATTAGAATTCAAAATGCTAGTAGTTAAGTTGATAGTAGTTAAGATATACTTAGTAGGAAGAAAACACTACAGGGAGGGATATATTCTAGTACAGTCATGAACTTACACTGGTGACCTGTGTGTTAATTCATTTTAAATTCAGAAATGAGAAGAAAAATATTTAGTTGGGAGGTGACTCAAAGGAGAATAATGAATTATAGCCAGAAGAAACCAGCATTTTAAGAAAACATTTTCAGGGAGGAACCTCGGTCTTCTTAAGAGTGTAACACAAAAATTCATTTTTGGGCTATTTGAAATGTTTTAGTTTCTAACACAGATTTTCCAAGATTCTTCAATTGACCTTCAAGGTTCCGACAAGAGTCATGCATTCTCTCTGCACAGGAGAATCGGGAATATCAGCCTTCTTCCAGAAATATTTTTCAAACATTTCCAATTAACCGAAACAGGAAAAACCCTGTTATCCCCGCTTTTTTCCTGAAGTTTCAGCCAATAGCAGACATCTGTCATCACTGATCCTGGGCCGCCACCTGGTGGCGTTTGGGAAAAATAAATTCAAATTTCACTTGCCCATGGGGCCCAGGCTGAGGCACTATCCTTCCCAGTGCTCCCGGAGGGCTGTAGGGTTGGATCCCTCCTTCCCACATCCCGACGGTCCGGCAGAAGGATCGTGGGATTTGCCCAAGCCTTGTCGGCTGACTCTGGGATGATGTGTATACACACACAGTGTATCTCTCCAAGGCAATGCAAAGGCAAAGCCTTGCTGGGTCTCACTGGTGGATTTGTAGCCTATTTTAGGTATTTTTATAGGTACATTCCCAAAGGTGAGAATACACAGCTCTCAACCAGTCAACATTGCCATATTCACAGGCAGGAATTAGGGGAGAGCCCATGATCCTCATTGTCCATCTGGGAGACTGAGGCTTAGGAAAATGAAGCACCCTGCCTATGGTCACAGGACGACACCAGCTAAATTGATTAAATTTATCAAATTGAATCACAGAACCGTTTGGGTTGGCAAGGACCTCTAAAGGTCACCTAGTCCAACTCCCTTGCAAAATGGGCAGGGACAACAATGAAAGACGTAGCATTTTGGAAGATAATAAACATCAGAGGGATTGGCCAAAAAACAGGTAACAGCACGTTGTAAAGACATGCAAAATATCACAACAGAAGAACTCTTGTGGCTTCACTGTAATTCTGCTAAACCAATCTTCTAAGAAATTAAATTCAGATCTCTAAATCACTTACTATGCTTCCTGTCTGTAAGAAATTTAACCAAGCTTCAGCTGATTAGAAATAGCAGCTTTGAGGGTACTATTTGTTCTTGTTAATCTTGTTAATCAGATTTGTCATATTTTGAGAAATACATGGGTAAAGTATTTCTGTAAGGAAATAAGTGTTTCTGAGGGATGAGACAAGAAGGAACAAACAGAGAGAAACAAAAATTAAGGTGTCTGGGACCCATCACTAGACAATGACACAACATTAATGAGCTCTGTGCATGAAACTGGTTTTATTTGAATATGGAAAAATGGATCCATAACAGTTATTTGTGACTAAATAAGTAACAAGGGCCTGGCGGGGTGATTGCCTGGGGATATGTACGCAGTCTAATTTAGTAATAATTTCCATCCCTCTCTGCTCAATGAACAAATAAACAACTCTTGCATGACAAATAAATGCTGATGCAACACTAGTGACATTAATTAAAACTTCTGGAAAACATCACTACAAAACAGACAAAATAAGAGTTAAAAATTTTACCGTGGCTGTAGCATACAACCCTAAATATATCTTGCTTAAAAATAAAAGAAAGTGGACTTTTAGATTTGTATTTAAACTTCTGGATTTTTGAATACAATGTACTGTGAAAGGCTTTGATCTCATTAGTGTCTTTTAGTCTGCCCTATTTTGCTGCATCTAACCAAAGAAAAATAAATTGCATAATTGTCCTGAAGAAACTTCTGTTTCTATTCTTTGCATTTCTTGTCTGTGCTCTTCTTGACACAGGCCTTTGACTCCTCCTTATCTCTTCATAAGGATAACTTTGTAAGGATCTATTCTGATTTTCCTGCAGTTCCCTAGAAACTTTCTACTTGGAGAGCTCTTTAAGGCACTGTTGGGAAGAAAGGGTTAAAAGCAGAAGATTGCAGAGGGGGATTCGAGATTCCAAGAGACGTTACAGGTGGGAATGAGAGGCCTGGAGAATACCAGTGTGGGAATATACTCCTTAGGCTATTCCCACTAATGTCTATCCTCTGTCTGTTTTGAGAAGTAGAATTTCTGTTCAGAGATACCACAGAAGTTTGGAGAGACCTGGAGGCACTGTCAGGGCCATGCTTGAGCTCCCTGTTTCGGGAGAGAGAAGATCAGAGCTCTGAGATCATAACAAGCACAGAGACCACAGCATGATGGTAAGCTCTGTGTGCATGAGCCCCCCAAAAGTGGGTGCAAAGAACAGCCCTGACACCCCTCAGCATGGGCTGAGCCTGGTGTTTCCTGCCTTCCCACTCCCAGGTGCTGCTTTGGGATCCTCTGGTTAGAGAGGTAACGAAATAAATTTACTCTTTGCATTTCAGATGCAGTCTTGTGGTTGTTCTGCCTGCCGGTGCCAACTCCCAACAGCACCTAAACATCCTTTACTTGCTCTTTCTCATTTTTCCTTACAGTACTTTTAAGGAACAGGTCTAGATAAAATACTCAGTCGTGATCCTCACAATGTCAGGTTACTGCCTCCCTTTGGTGAAAACTTAACCAGATTTTCTATATATTGCAAAACACCCCCAGCCACATCTTTACAACTTTTTACAAAACCGACAGGTGTAAGGTAAATTCACTTTTCATAGAAGAGGCCAAGACAATCCTTAGCAATGTAGGAAGACCATATCCAGCTTTCTTATGAATTTAAACATTGACCAGGAAAAGTGTTGCATAACTACATCACAAACCATCCAGGCTGAAGTCATCTTCCATCCTTTAACTAAATTACAGCCAGGGATGCAGGATTCACAGGGATAGAAGGCACAACGGTGGGAGGCAGATACTGCAGCCTAGTGCACCCATCGTTTATATGGGATAAAAAATTCCTATGTTTCAGCTCTTTGCCTTGAGGCTATTGTTGAGCTTCACATGAAACAGTCACATCTGTATCAATTTGGGACAGTTTCTTTTTTTTTTTCCCCCCTGTAAGGAATGCGAATAATGTCAAAGGATATTTAACGACATTTTCAAAGCTTTGTTATTCAAATTCCTTTATATTCAGATTATTTCAGTCAGGTGTTTGATACTTGACAGAGCCTAAAACACAAATGTTCTGGTTTTAAAATGTGTGCTATCAATATATACATGAATGAAAAATTAAAAAGATGTTTTTGAGTCTAAGTATGCAAAATATAACCTCAGGCTACAAAGCATTTCATCCAATAAAATTTGAAAAGAATTTCAGAGGGATCATCAAATTCATCAGAGGCAGAGAGATAATTAACATAACCTAATTAATCTCCTTGTCGTAGTGAGCTATTTGCTAAGCAGTTGAGTGCACACTAGATGGCAGCCTGAGTATAGATGATGTCATCCTACTGCTTGCTCGCCTCCAAGGGAAGGTGAAATCCTTGGACTCAGTAGCGTGTTTTGGGAAAAATGAAACTCGATGATGGGCCAAAGTATGGGATGCTTAGGTCTGCAATGTCCTTAGGTCCTCCCTGCAGTGTCACCATAGTGTAGCATTAAGCAGTGAAAAGTCTCACTCCCAGCTAAATGCAACTAACACCAGTAACAAATGCTCTAAACCCCAAGGGCAAAATAACCAAAATATTCAGGAATAAACTGTTTGCAGCTCAGATTTCACAACATGGAAACGAGAAAGACTTCTTTGTGCACCCCTTGCAGTATAGAAAAAGAACAAGATGCAGCAGCTGGTCAGGAGAGCCCAAGAGAAGCACTTACAGATAAGATTTGATCTCCTCGCTGCAGTTCTCCGCTGAGATCCGCAGGCCCACCTGCGAGGATGAAAGACACGAAAATGCCTTCCCCGTCTTCGCCTCCCACAATGTTGAAACCAAGTCCTGTGGAGCCCTTGTGCAGGATGATTTTTCGAGGCTCTCTGTACAGAAACAAAGTGATAATGTGATAATTAGGCACTCAAACCTCTTACCGTGTATGCATTTTTCATCTTGAGACACAATGACCTGCTATTGTCTAAAGAAACCATGTAACAAATGATGACACTGTTAACTGGTGAACAGATAAGGTAGAAATCAACCAGCATAATTTTTTTTCTCATGGTTGAATTCAAACATCTCTATTAACTTAATCACATTGGAGTTATCTTCACTATGTTAAGTGACAAATTTATTAAAAGGAAAAACAAAACATTAAATAATCTACTTTACAGCAATACTATATATCCAGGTAGAATCAATCTTTACATAGTACCTTTTTATTCTAAGTTCTAGTCTTGCTTTTGCAACAAACGAACAAAGAAAAAGCTTACAACTCCAAGCAAAGCAATGGCAGTTGTGTTTGATCCTGACAGATTTGGAACATATATGATCAAGCTAATACAGCAGAATCTCATTAAAACTTTGGTTTGACATTATCAGGATTGTGCATTTGTTAAGTCACACTGCAGCTTTACCACTGAACCAGCCCAAGGGATACCTGCTTTTGCTATGCTCATTAAAAAAATATTATTATAGAAATCCATAAATAGTAACAGGTATATCTCACACAGCTGTTTTCATCTGTAAATTTAAAGTATGACCCAGAGGATGTAAACATAACATGCCATTTACTGATGGCAATACTTATATCCAGGAACAGATAACTTTCCTAATCAATCAAGGCAGCATCCTTGAGAAAGGGTCCCAAATATTCCTGTTCCCAGTCTCTACATACAAGGCCTCAGAGCTGGCTCTCCCTTGGATATACAAGCACACAAAAACAACTATCTATACACACACTCCATATTTATTGGTACTTACCCCATTTCAAATCTAACTATTTAATTTTCAGAAAAAGTGTGAATTATGTTAAATTATGATGTATAAATTTTAAGCCTAGCCCTGCAAGTCTCCCAAACACATATATAAGTATCTGTGACTCCTCCCAGAGAAACAGGATGCTCTACTCATTTTTTAAGTTTACAAATAAAAGTTGCCAGCAACAAAAACACACATTCTACAGAATGCTTCTTATAGAAAAGATTCACTATTTCCTCCATATTATGGCGCAGCTCTGATTCACACAAATGGATCCTTAATTTCCATTTTGTTTTTAAAGAACTGAGAAAAAAGGAAGAGAAATTATTAAATTGGGGGATGCCTCATTTGATACGAATTTAATCTTATGGATACATGGAGACTTTACCTTGACATGATACTTCTGAAGTCATGGGCATTTGCTAATCTTTGCCCAGTGCTAATATTCAAATGGTTTCCCCAACTTGATTATGATGTTAAAATAACATCTCAGCTTTCTGAAACCAAAGTTTTATATTTTTGAAAGAGAAGAATAAAGCAAAGTATTAGTCCTCCTCTGTATGGTCCTTCATCTCTTTGACTTAAATTTTAACATTGTAAAGTCAGAAAACAAAAATACAGCTGTGAACAAAAGATATATTGTATTGAGTTTGTGTATTTTGAAGTATTTTTAAGAATCAGAAAATAAAGGTAGAGTATGTTTTCTTTTGCATCACTGCTGTTGATTTGCCTTGTAGCAACTCCTTTAACACCTTGTTAAATATGTGCAGAGTAGACATAATGTGATCCAGAATTTAAGAAGTCTAAACAGGTTTGTAATTAGAAGTGTGGCCTGGGGGTTGGAGCAGAACTAGGACAGTGAGCTGAAAGTATGGTTTCTCTTCTCTGCTTAGCCCATGCACTGCTGTGTGTTCCTGGCAACTCATTTGTTCTCCCAGCTTCAGTTTCCTCATCCACAAAGTGATACGGTGACACTTGTCATCTTTGAGTCCTACACATCAGAAATACTTTGCAAGAGTTGAGCAACTGCCATTTATTATTTACCAGAATATTGAGGCAAAAGAGGCAGCAAAGTCAAGCCAATATATATGCATGCTCTGCTGGTGAGAAATCAGAAGAGACCTTGCTCAAAATAAAAATGGGTATTTTCACATATGACAGGCAGCTTGGATGAAATAGTTGAAAGCCACGACCATGGGCATAATTAGGTCAATACAACTGGGTATCCACTGAATAGTAAGCTGTGCAGCTCAACAAAATGTTGGCCCAGTTACTAATCCCTGTCTCTGATCAAGTCAGCAGATTTATGCCTAAAATGCTGCCAGTGCTGTTTTATAATTTTGGCCTTTTGACAGTAAAATTCACATTCTGCTCTTGAATGATTATGTTTAGAGGAAGTTCAGACAATAACGGGAAAATGTCAGAAGCTGTGATCAGAATGCAATGGTTTCTGCCTCTGCTCTTTTACCTAATCAGGTCATTTTGGTCATGACTCAGATTTGGCTGAATAGAGGCTGACCATCCTTAAAATGTCTTTGTATTTCTTTCAAATCTGAGTACCCTGCAGAATCTGAAAGGTGGACTCAAGAACACGTAAGTGCTGTTGTCATTATAAAAATAACCTTTAGCCATTACTGTACTACAAAAGCTATAGGAAGTAGAATGTGTATGCCAACTCACCTTAATATAATAGTTTTAAAAATATGTACTTGTTCACACTTGTGTAGTAGACTTACAATGACAACCAGAAAGGGCTTATGATAGCAAAAAGTTGATATAAAATTTATGAAGTAGGAAAAATATTTCTTAAGGAAACCAACTACAATACCAGCCACTGTCCAGGTGATCTTTTAAGAGTGATGCATATTTTATAAATTACAGTCAACCCTTAATATGATATTTACGGAGGTCTAAGAACAGCTGTTCCAATTTTTCTTGAATATGTGGAAAAAAACATCACGAAAAAAATCCTTTGCCTCTGTTAAAAATCTTTATGAATGCAGTTCCCGTAGAAAAGAGAAAACGCAGAATAAAATGCAGATAAATGCTGTAAAGGAGGTGATGGAACCAAACACTTAAAGATGACACGATGATGGGAGAGTTGAGCAGGGAAAGAAAAGTAACTCAAATGTGAATGACGCTCGCTTGTAGTCAATGCACTCAGAATGCTGCAGAAAACGACAACTAAGGCAGAACTTATTTTAAAATGGGGCTGGCTGGGCACTGAACAGGCTCCCAAGGGAAGTGGTCACAGCACCAGCCTGTCAGAGTTGAAGAAGCATTTGGACAATGCTCTCTGGCATTTGATGTGACTCTTGGGGATGTCTGGTACAGGGCCCAAAGCTGGACTCAGTGATTCTTGTGGGTCCCTTCCAACTGTGGATATTCTGTCATCCTATGAAAATATTTTATTTGGAGACAATAGATGGCACTCTGTAGCTTCCCTGGAAAAAGGAGCAGTCTGATATCCAGTGTTTCTGAAATTCATATTTCAGCCTCCAGCTTTAACTATTTATCCCATTTACAATTTCTTGTGTGATAAATACAGCTGAAGGTAACTTTGTAGGTGCTAACAAAGTGTACTAGCACTTTAATTTGGTGTGTGCATGTTTTATACCCTCCTGCAGCTCTATACCACATACAAACAGAGCAGAGCAGCAGGGGAAATCAAGCAGAAATTAGAAGGGAGTGTGAGATGAAAACACTCCTGGACTGACAGAAGGCAGCAGAAGGGAGGGGGAAAAAAGAGAAGGGAAAATAGGAAAAAAAAAGGAGAAAAGAAGAGAGAAATCAGAATAAAGGGAGGCAGTGCCTCTGTACAGGAGAACAGGGAAGGAAATAAAAAGGTAGGGAAAGAAGAATGGAAAATTTACATTAATAGATTCAGGAGTAAAGGAGCACATAAAGTGCTGCAATCCACACAAATTTACAGACTGAGAAATCAATGGCAGAATCAATTTGGATGGACTTGGTTACTTGCTTTAAGGAATGCATCAGATCAGATTCTGCAAATCACATTATAAATCGCAGGCCTGATGTAAGAGCATAGGATTCCTAAATTAATATTTGAAAAGTAGTAACAAACCAGAGCAGATAAAACATCAACACTTAAAAAAATGTCTTCTGTCATAAAAATACAACGACCAAAAATAAAACAAAGGGCAGCATTTCTCTCCTTAACAGTTTTTTTTTTGGTTTATGCATGTTTAATTTGATCACTATCTTGAAAAGAGCAAGTGCTTTTTGTTTACTACATTTGTACTGAATATTTGGTTTGATCAGTTTACTTTTAACAAACAGAAAATGGCAAGACATAAAATGCAACTATTACTATCATTCTTCTATAGACTGGAATCCATAGTGATTATAGATCTAATTTAAGAGATTAAAACTGGACTGATAAATGATGGGGAAGTGCTTTCTAAAAACAAGTAATTATTGTAATAATTAACTGAAAGAAAATCCATGATTAAATTGATTATTTTGTGCTGCTGGCAACATTAAAGAAAAGAGTAAATTTTAGTATTCCTGTCAATTGACACAGCTCTGTCTTCCGGTTTCTTTTGTACCATCTATAAAATTGGAGTGCTGACACAGTTTTGTGCTTTTTGAAATACCTACAGAAATATTAACCAGCACTGGGTGCTTTCAAATATCAGACCCTAGGGATTTCTTCAGTTTTATACAGTCAATGAGGTACCTCAAATCTGCAGAGGCTTGGAAATATGGCTTTGATCTTGATTTGGCTGCAGTTTTTTGTTGTTTGGCTTTTAGAGGTTTTTTTTTTTCTTTTTTGTTGCTGTTGGATTTTGCCTTCCCTCCTCCCCACAAACTGCCATTTTCTTCACAAAGGATGTTGAAAGAATACATAAATTCATGCATATGTTGCTTTGGTGTTATAGTAATACAGATCACAGAAAGCCCAGGAGAATATTTATCTTATTGCTCGCATTAGTGTAGCATCAATGTACAAGTCAGGGCCCACAACCTTTGTACACTTATATAGTGCAAGAAAATCCACTCCAGCTACTTGAACCAGCAAACAGCAGGAGGGAAAGTTGAAGTTGCAAGAAGTTGTATTATTTGGGTAAAGTCACATTGGTATACCAGGGAGAAGAGCACA